GGCGGAATGTTTTTCATTAGCATCTTGAAAAAAAAGATTTAAGTAAAATAAAAAATACCATTTGTTATTGAAACAGGGAATAGTCGCGGGGTAACGACAATCGCCTCGCACTTGGCAAGTTGGTGGTTCGAATCTTGCATGGGAAAAATTATTTTGGGTATAAAAATTATAATTAATTATGGGTTTTGAGGGAGAATTTCGTGTTACTGTTGGAAAGTTTTGGTAATTAGCTGCTTGAAAAAAGGGCTTAATTATGTCCAAGGCTTGATGAAAAATTGATTCAAAGTTCACAAGTATACATACGATGTAAGCACGTGCATGTTTTATAGGTACGCGTAATTTACTACATCTGCGACTTGTATGTACGCAGGCATATGATGTATGGACGTGCACGTTTTGGACGTTCGCCTACGTTCGCTATATATACACTATCCGCCGAAACGAAATTTTCAATTTTTCACTTTCCCTTTTTGAACAAATCTAAATGGTATTGCAAATGATAAAACCCAAATAGAATAGCAAAAAACGCCACGCAGTCGCAGTGAACTAACATGGTCATGCCTACGATTTCAGTGCGCATGTGGAACACTCCCACAATCAGCACACTGAGCAATGTCACATATATACTAGACATTTTTAATGGGATATTGTGAACCACTACCGCTTATAGGTCACATGTAGTTATACAGGGTGTAACGAAAAAAAGGTAATCCAACTTCAACACGCTACTGTACGTGAACTACTCAGTCACATTCGGGAAGACCAGGCTTTTAACTATCGGATGACATGTTTTTAATACCAAATGGTGAATAAGTGAGCAAATACGAGGCTGATAGAAAATGTTAGTCGCAATCGCATATTTTCACCTTTGAGCCTAATTAAAGCAGTGCATAACAAAAGAAAAAACAATAAATCACGAACATGTCACAGCTTGCACTGCTCTGGTTTTACGCCGCATTGCCCGGAATGTTCTCCTGATCTGATTTATTCCTACTTAATATGCATATGCGGGTAGTTTATTCAAAAGCAAAATTCTTCAATTAAGTCCCAAAGAGAGTTAATTTTCAATGGTTTTAGTCCCAACTCTCAGAGGTGAAAATATGTGATTTTGACTAACACTTTTTATCAGCCTCCTATTTGCTTATTTTTTTACCATTTGGTATTAAAAACATGTCATTCTATAGTTAAAAGCCCAAACTTTTGGAATGTGAAAAAACTTCGTTAATAGAATGAGTAGTCACTTCATTTCTCGCGCAGTCGCAGTGAGCGAGTAATAATCCCATAATCACCACATTAGGCAATCTTATATATAGTAAGGCTGCCGCTGATGGGGTGACTGGAGTCATAAACACTGCGTTTAGCAATATTTCATCTTTTCCATAAAAAGGAAAAGGTGAAATAAAAAGTCTTGACTTTTGCGACCAGCACTGATGGACCCCATGCTGGCCGAGAAGGTTAGGACAGTGGTTAGTCCATAGGGGGTGGTTCAAGCCCTTGCAGTACCAGAAAATAATTTGCGACTCCTTATTTAACTTCAAAGTCTTCACCACCAGCACTGATAACCAAATGTTAAGATTTAAAAGTCTCAAGTCGAAGAAAGGATAAAGTAAAAAAAACATTTATCTTTCACCACCATCAGCGGTGGCCGAGTGGGTTAGGACAGTGGTTAGTCCATAAGTGGTAGTGGTTCAAGCCCTTGCAGTGTCAAAACAAGACTTGCGAATTCTTATTTAATTTAAAGACTCCGAAGAAAGGATTCAGTAAAATAAAAAACAGCCGTCTTTCACCACCAGCAGCGGTGGCCGAGTTAGTTTGGACAGTGGTTCCATGCGGTGGGTGGTTCTAGCCCTTGCTGTGTCAAAAATTAAGTTGAAAATTCTTATTTAATTTCAAAGACTTGTAAGGATAAGGTGAAACAATTCTAAGTCTAAAAAATTCTAAGTCTCACCACCTGCACTGATAGCCGGCGGTGAAAACTTAGAAAATTTAAAAAGTCTTAAGTCGAAGAAAGGATTAAGTCAAATAAAAAACTGTCGTCTTTCACCACCAGCAGCATTGGCCGAGTTGGTTAGGACAGTGGTTAGTCCATAAGCGGTGGTGGGTTCAAGCCCTTGCAGTGTCAAAACATGAGTTGCATGAAAAGAATAAATTTCAAAGACTCGAAGTTTCAAAAAATAATTGAAGATTGAAAAAGGAAAAAATAATTAGAAGTTTCAAAAAAAAATTGGAATATTCAAAAAGTGAAAAAAAATTGGACTGTTAGAAAAAAATTCCAAGTTTCATAACAAATTCGAAATTTCAAAAAAAAAGCGGAAGCCCCCAAAAAATCGGAATTTCACAAAAAAATTGGAAGTTTCAAAAAGATAAAAAAAATTCAAAGTAAAAAAAATTGGATAGTTAAAAAAAATTCTAAGTTTCATAACAAATTCGGAATTTCAAAGAAAAATTGGAAGTTTCAAAAAAAGAGAAAAAAAAATTTCAAAATCAAAAAAAAGTGGACAGTTTCTCCTCCTCTCTCTCCCCTCCAAACAAGGAGGGGAGGGAGAGGAGAGAAGAGGAGAGGAGGGGAGGGAGAGGAGGGGAGGGAGAGGAAGGGAGGAAGGGGGGGAGAGAGAGGAGGGAGAGAGAGAGGAGGGAGAGAGAGGAGGGGGAGAGGGAGGAGGAAAGAGGAGGAGGGAGAGAGAGGAGGAAGAGGAGAGGAGGGGGGGCATAAAGGGGGAGCATAGGTTCCCCGGATGTTGCTCCCCTCCTCTCTCTCCCCCTCCTCTCTCCCCCCTCCTCTCTCCCCCCCCTCCTCCTCCCCCCCTCCTCTCTCCCCCCTCTCCTCTCTCCCCCCTCCCCCCCCTCCCCCCTCCTCTCTCTCGCCCCTCCTCTCTCTCCCCTCCTCTCTCTCCCCCTCCTCCCTTCCCTCCTCCTCTCTTCCCTCCTCCTCTCTTCCCCCCCTCCTCTCTTCCCCCCTCCTCTCTTCCCCCCCTCCCCACCTTGTTCAAGCCCTTGCATTGTCTTTTGGACTTTAATTTTCCAGCTGTCAATTTTGTTTTGAAACTTCGAATTTTTTTAACTGTCGCATTTATTTTTACTTCGATTTCTTTTTCTTTATTTGAAACTTCCCTTTTTTGAAATTCCGATTTTTTTTGAAATTCCGAATTCTTTTTTCTTTCCTTCTGAAACTTCCAATTTTATTGAAATTGCGGGGTTTTTTTAATTGTCCAATTTTTTTTTGACTTTTACTTTTTCCTTTTTTTTGAAGCTTTTTCAATACTTCTTTGAAACTTCCAACTTTCACTTTCCAACTTTCCAACTTTCAATTTTCAATGTTCAATTTCCCAATTTCCAATTTTTGAAACTCATGTTTTGACACTGCAAGGGCTTGAACCTCCACCGTTTATGGACTAACCACTGTCCTAACCAACTCGGCTACTGCTGGTGGTGGTGAAAGACTACAGTTTTTTATTTTACTTAATTTTTTCTTTGTCTTAAGACTTTTTAAATTTTCCAAGTCTTTGAAACTCATGTTTTGACACTGCAAGGGCTTGAACCCACCACCGCTTACGGACTAACCACTGTCCTAACCAACTTGGCCACCTCTGCTGGTGGTGAAAGACACTTGTTTTTTATTTTACCTAATCGTTTCTTCGACTTAAGACTTTTTAAATTTTCTAAGTCTCACCACCGGCTAACAGTGTTGGTGGTGAGACTTAGAATTTTTTAGACTTAGAATTTTTTACCTTATCCTTACAAGTCTTTGAAATTAAATAAGAATTTGCAACTTAATTTTTGACACTGCAAGGGCTTGAACCACCCACCGCCTATGGACTAACCACTGTCCTAACCAACTCGGCCACCGCTGCTGGTGGTGAACGCAAAAGTTTTTTTATTTCATTTACTCCTTTCCTTGGAGACTTTAAATTAAATAAGAATTCGCAACTCATGTTTTGACGCTGCAAGGGCTTGAACCACCACCGCTTATGGACTAATCACTGTCCTAACCCACTCGGCCACCGCTGCTGGTGGTGAAAGATAAACGTTTTTTATTTTAATTTATCCTTTCTTCGACTTGAGACATTTAAATTAATATTTGGCTATCAGTGCTGGTGGTGAAGACTTTGAAGTTAAATAAGAAGTCGCGAATTATTTTCAGGCACTGCAAAGGCTTGAACCACGCCCTATGGACTAACCACTGTCCTAACCTTCTCGGCCACCACTGCTGATGGTGAAACACGAAAGTTTTTTATTGGTTTTTCTCTTTTCTTCGACAGGAAAAGATGGAATATCGCACCTACAACTTATCAAACGGGCTCCATCAGTGCTGGTCGCAAAAGTCAAGACTTTTTATTTCACCTTTTCCTTTTTATGGAAAAGATGGAATATTGTTAAACGCAGTGTTTATGACTCCAGTCACCCCATCAGTGGCAGGCTTACTATATATAACATTGCCTAATGTGGTGATTATGGGATTATTACTCGCTTACTGCGACTGCGCGAGAAATGAAGTGAATGAAGAACATTTGAACCAACTCTCTCAGTCTGCGAAATTATTGTCTTAAGAACCAGGGGCCGGTTGTATCAAGCCCGTTTAGCTTAAACGGCGGATAAGTTCAAATTGAAAGCAAGTCTATCGTTTTATTCAACAAGCAAACTGAATTAAGAAGAGTGTTTACCACAGCAGTTATTGATCGGAAGAAATGCAAAAAGAAGGCAATGCATATCAACCATTCATATGTGGGCTTGGTGGAGCTAATGGTTACGGTTCAATTGCTTTGCATTGTTTTGTAATATATCAGCCTATTTCACTGATCTGATTCGACCATGGTCGAGTTCGTCGGAAAATGGCAAATACGACCATGGTCTAGTTCGCCGGAAAATGGCAATACGACCATGGTCGAGTTCGCTGGGAAATGGCCTCGAGTTATGTAGCATGTTGCTCAGGGTTCCACAATTTGTGACATCACTTCCTTTTTGCTTCCAAGAAAACACCTTGACATTCCTGGCAAGAGGAAACGTGCTGTTGTGTATTTTTGCACACTGCCGACGTGATCCACAATACCCCCTCGTATATGGTTTTATCATCCTAAGGAAGTCTTCAAATGTGTCGTCGAATTATATTCGACCTGTTTCAAGTCTATTCAACTTGTTCTGTCCACTACGGTTAAGACAAACCTGACACAAGGTATGCATTCAAATTCTTTAGACAAAATTAATGTGTACATAAGCCAACGTCACTTTATATAGTCTTTACACAGCAGAGTCTGAAACCACATGGGGCTTTACTTTAGAGGCAGTAGAGCTAGGCTGTTAAAAAATTCGTACAAAAAACTGTCGGTTTGGCAGCTTTCATAATAGGCTGCGAATCTCCCGTCGTGTGTCATCCATTCATGAACTTTTCTGCATCATCAATCTACTTGAGCTTGGCCCAAGTTAATCACAAAAACGATTAATTTGTTAGCAAGGAAATCGCTTGTTTCACATTATAGGACTGGTTTGTTATGCCACAATATTTTCAATAAGCTGGGACTCCGTTGACCTGGCTACATCTCAATGACAATGAAACATACACATGACTATATAGCTACAATAACGAATTCCTATAGCTATGCAAATACTGTAATGCAACGTGTCTCAGTTTCATATCAAACATTCCCATGTGCATTTGTTTTGTCTGAATTTTACTTTAAATGTATCGCTAGGAGTATTATATATTTAGATCTCTAAAGCTTTCACTTTTATAGTTTTACTCCATGCCTTTGCTCTCCACGAACAATTTGTTCCGAGAACAACTCGTAACGTTTCACTTCCGCTAATGGCAATATGTTCATTCGGGCTTGGAGCCTCGTCTTACAATAAATAACTTCTAGCTTCTGACCAACCACATTCTCCGGGTTATAATATCACTGCCCAGTAACCCCTTTTGGAGTGAAGATAGGGTTAACTAGTATCTAAGATGAGGTCAACTGCACAAGTCCTAATATATAAGATGGGATACCCAAGTACCTACACATTCACTCAAATGTATCATTAATCGACTACGATAGCTTGAATACCAGTGTCACAACGGTACTAGTGTAACAGTAAACAAATAACTAAACGAATAAATTGTATTTTTAACAACAATATATTTCCAATTCGATAAAAAACTAATGAAACAAATGCCATTTACAGGTAATGCAACACTCTGTAATGGATAAAGCAAAAAAACGTTCGGTGCCAATCTTGGGTCTGAAGGCCAAGAGGCAAACTACCATGCAATGGTACAGAGGAAGGTTGTGCCCTATCAGAAAGGAAAATGCCTGGTTCATAAAACCAATGGCAGAGTTACCAGAGGGCTATGCAACAGATAGGGATGTTTTCCTGTATCCCAATTACATATCCGAGCACGTTCTTCCTTTGGTTGAAGGGGATTTGCTTGAGTTTGTCCTCGGCGATCGAGACAAAACAAAACCTATGGCACAAAAGGTACGCGTGTCTCAGTACACGCCACGGACACACAAGAAACTAATTGAGTATGTCAGTTGTCTAACTGCAGAACTCAATACAGCAAACGCTAGGAAACTGCTCATTCAAGTGTTGCCGTGCACGGCAATGTGGAGGTTTCTTGGCTCGCCTGTGTTTAAAGGTTTATCAGGTTGGTAACTAGACGTGTTTACCAGTTGATTTCCTATTTCGTTCCACTAAACAAAAACGTTAAGCTTTGTAGTCACAAAAAGTCATCCTTTAACACTTTGACTGAATAAACGTTCATATTGTAAACACTGCCTTAATTGTCTTTATATTTTACATGCACAGGTGAAGAATATACCAATGTGTCATACGTTAAGTTCCTCTTGACATTACTCAAAGTCGTTTTGCATCACGGTAAATCTTACAAAACTCTCTTGGAAGACGTGATTAGGACCGTTACACGCGGAACGATGTTTCAAACCACGAACGACCAAAGCCTACCAGCGATCATAGCTTCCTGCAATTACAATGATAATGATATGTTCTACTCTGAGGAGGATGAGACGTTTCTATCTGCAGAACTAGTCCGAAGTTTTTGCCACGAAGCTGTTCGCCAGGTGCCATCAGCGACTCGCTGTCTTCTGCCCACGATAACGGCAATCAGTAAGAAAATACCAAATCCTACAACACCAAATTTCCTGTGTTCTCTTCTCTCGCTCACCGCCGCAGGAGAACACGGCTTCGCCGCTAACGATGGTGGCTGGTTTGACCTGCCTTTTATACCGACAAATCACGAACTAGCTGGCCATCTGGTTGAAAAGGACAAAAACTTGATGCCAGTCAAGTCTCGAGTACCTTACGACGATCCCGAACAGTATATGGACACCTATTTTCGTCTAGTTCGCGCTGAAACCTTTTCAGCAATGCAGCACGGAATAAAGGATCTGAAAGCTTCGATACTGGACCTTAGGGACATGAATGTTTACTACAATATCCACCTCGCTGGTTTTGAACTGCAAAACGGTCGATTCTCTCTGGCAATTCATTTTACACCCACGAAGACGGTAAAGAAATGGGAAGCCTCGCCTCAACTCATGTACGGCAATTTGTTGTGCATCTCGCTGAACCGAAAGTTCGATGATGTCATTTGGGCAACGGTGTCCAACAGGGATCCAGAGTTACTAAACAAACATCAGATCATTATGCTTGACCTGCTGGACGAGAATGTCAAGAAAATCAGCGTGATCATCAACTCACTTCAAACGCAAGGAGGTACTTAATTATTTACACGGAGGTAGAGATGAGTAGTAGGTAGTTGAATGTAGCAGGTAGTTGCACGTGATGATTGCATGCGATTTTAATGTTAGAAGAGTTGACACTACACATTTCGAAGTCAGTACGGAGTTGTAGAGGCCTTAGGATAATGAGGTTTATCATGCATCAGAGAACAGTTTTTTTGACGTTACCAAAGCCGCCCCATGATGTATTGCAAATCTTGCTATCACAGAAACTTTCGAACCTTGATTTTTATGTAGCTTTTTTTGTTAAAGGTTCTGGAGTCATGGTCGAATCACCAACCTACTACCACTCCTTGAGTCCTGTCCTGCGAAGTTTAAAAGAATTCGACATAGAAAACTTTCCTCTTCGGGCAGAAGTTATCTACGCTAATGCATCACCGGAAATGCCTGATTACCTAAAGGAAGCGACATTTCGTACCTCCATTGTTTGCTCAGTCAAAAAGGTGATCAGCACGGTAAAGAAAAGCCAGAAACAGACGTCTGAAAAAGAGGAGGATTCCACCTCTGTAGATTCCAGACCTGAATATTCCAACTCTGAAGACTCCAACTCTGATGAAGAATTTTTAGATGCACATTTCCTCAAGATTGGCTTGGGGAGTAATTTCGATAAAATAGAGGATTCCATTGATACCTTGAAAGAACGTAAAGATGAAGACATAAAAAAGTCTGTTATTGCTTTCGACAACAAATCGCTTGAATCCCAAAAAAAGAATTCAACACCCGATAACCTTATACATATTTTGATGGCTTCCGAGGGGTTTTGTCATATAAGCCCAAGTGAACTTACAGGTACATCTGTTAACAATGGGGAACAAATAGATACTGATCAGAGTAAAGAAGATAAGGAGAGTCCTCATGCGATTACAGTGAAAAATTGTACCGCGCAGGACGAGCTTGGACAAAGAATGAAAGTTGAAAGATTTGTGGAAGTGTTTAACTCCGGTTCAGAGTCTTCCTTAGAGGCAAGTCAATGCGAAGCCCTAGTTCACGCTTTGAAGAACAGACTGGCAGTTATCCAAGGTAAGCAATCACAATTTTCTTTGTTTGATAAAGCCATTGTTCTGTTTCATTAAACGTTATGTTTATGTTGATGGAAACTGCTAAACTCCCATTCAACTGATGCCAATCAGTTCACCAGAGGACAGTTTTTTTACCTTACCAAAAGGCTCGTCCCCAGAGCAGCCCCAAATTGCATCTGCATCGGCAACTTTTTAAGGATCTGTTTGTTTCTAGGTCCACCTGGTTGTGGTAAAACATTCATCGGAGTCAAAATCGTTCAGCTGTTGCTAACCCTTTCGCCGAAGCTTAAAAAGCCAATCTTATTGCTGACCTACAAGAACCATGCCCTGGACGAGTTCTTGAAACACATGCTACTATTTTGCCCGAAAGATGACATGGTTAGAATTGGTGGCAGGTCAAAAGAGCAAATTTTAGAGTCCTGTAATCTGAAAAGACTTGAAGGTTCGATATTATACGACAAAGCTCTGAGTGCGGAGATTCAAAACACGAGAATAGAAATCAACAGTATTGAATCGAAGATTAAGAAGGTTTCAGCCGAGATCGAAGCTAGTTCCTTCTTGACGCGGAGGAGTTTGGTCGACGAGTTGACAGAGGAACAACTACAGTCTTTGATTGCTGAAGCTGACTGGGGAAAACCACCGATGATTTTCTGGCTGAACAAGAGAAACTGCGCGGATAAAACGTGGATGAAAGGATGATGCTGAAAGATGTTTCACACATTTTTGGATCGGTGCAAGGATTTCTACAAGAGGCATTGGAAATAGGCGTGTCGAATCAGAACCACATCGGTTTAAGCTGCATAAAGGCTTTCCTTCACGTGCTTCAAATTTGGTTTCCTGATCGAAAGGAACTTCAGAGAATGAAAGAGTTTCAGGCGCAGTTCGTTTTACAAATACAAAGTGACACGACAGCTGACGAAGATACGTCGGAAAAGCCCGAAGATGGTGAGGACGATGATAGCGGTGACGAAGATTACGTCAAGCAACTGCTTGAGACACGAATGGCCGCGGGGACTGGCCAAGGAGTCAGGTCAGATGACCTCATACTTTTTAATAGGACTAAAAAGAACAAAAATGATATTTTGGTCAATATATCTGAGTATCCACCTGATCTAGTAGTCAGCTCACAAATTCGCAGCGTGAACAATCTTTGGAGTTTAAATGAAGTCCAAAGACTGCAGTTTTTACACTGTATTCTTTACGAGAAAACAAGTAATCTTTCTCAGGAGTTGAACGACCTTATTGACCAGCTACAGAGTCTGAGAAAACGTAAAGAAGAGTTGGAAACGAATGACAAAGTTGAAATGTTGTCAAAGAAAAAGATCATCGGTGTGACCATCACTGGAGCATCAATCAATCATGATCTTCTTCATCAGATCGGTCCTAGTGTTGTGATTGTTGAGGAAGCCGCTGAAATCCTGGAACCAAGTCTTCTGGCTGCGCTGACGCCTTCTTTAGAACATCTTATTTTAATTGGCGACCACAAACAACTCAGACCTCAAGTGGACACCCATGAGTTGTCTAGAAACTACCATCTTGATATCTCGATGATGGAAAGGTTGATTGAATCTGGATTCCCTTTTAAATCCCTTGCCAAGCAGAACCGAATGCGACCCGAATTTTCCGCTTTACTCCATGATATCTACCCAAACCTTGAAGATAACTTGCCACTGGTTTCGAAGAATGATCCTTTGAAGTGTATTTCGAAGTCAATGTTTTTCTGGTCCCACAATGACCCCGAGAAAAGAGATCGCACTTACACGAATGCCAAAGAAGCAGAGCGAATTGTGGCTCTTGTTGTTTATCTCCTTTGCAATGGTGTCCGTCCGTCTGAGATCACAGTGCTATCACCGTACCTCGGACAGACTAAGCTTCTGAGACGCTTGATCAAACAAGAGAGAGCTAGACTACCTGAATTTTTCAAAGAAACTGACGACGAGAGCGACGAATGGGAAGGCTACGTCCAGGTGCAAACAATTGACATGTATCAAGGAGATGAAAACAAATATATCCTTATCTCTTTGGTGCGATCCAACGAAGAGAATAGAATCGGATTTCTGAGTAGAATGAATCGTCGTTGTGTTGCACAGTCCAGAGCACAATGCGGTATGTATTTCGTTGGAAATGTGAATACCTTGTGCGGAGCAAAGGATTCGTGTTGGACGACGTTCGTACGTTCGATGATGAGCCAAGAATGTTTGAGCGATGAGTTTCCTCTTCAGTGTGTCAAACACAAATCCTCGAAGTACAAGGCTTTGGACGGCAACATGATTCGACAAGTGAACGCGAAACCTGTACTTTTGTGCAAGCAACGATGCGGAGATCCGTATCCAAGTTGCGATAAACATCCTTGCATGAAGTTTTGTTTCCCAAGACATAATCATTTCGTTTGTCCCGAGAGCGTCGACGATAATTTCCCCGATTGTGGTCACGATGTGAAGCGACCTTGCCCGAAGAAGATTACCGAACTTCGGTGTCAAGTTATATCAATTGTTGATCTCCCATGCGGACACGAGGGGCCAAAGATGTGCTCTCAAGAACTATCTCAAGTTACATGCAAAATACCAGTCACTGCAACCTTTGCACGATGCGGCCATACGACAGAGAAACCATGCCATGTAAAGATAGAAACGATGAAGTGTCAGCATCCTTGCAAAGAGATGAATTTATGCGGAATCCACCAGTGTAAAAATGTTTGCGGAAAAAGTCATGGCCATGAACGGTGTGAAGAAATGATCGACTATAAATTTCCTAACTGCGATCATCCGTCTTCCATACCGAAAAAGTGTTCGGAGGAAATAACGTGGAAGTGTGTATACATGGTGTCCTTTGCAGGAGCCTGTGGTCATGAAATCCAAAAGAAATGCCACCACAATCAGAGCGAAGTGAAATGTCCTGTTAAACCTTGTGGAAGGATGAGAAAATGCAAGCATCCTTGTGCAAATGCCTGCGGAGATGACTGCGAGAAGGGTGAATGCAAGCACTGCCAACGCGTGTTCAACAAGAAGATGGAAGCATTCCGCAACGCGGCCAGAAACAAAGTCAAAGAGCTGGAAGAAAAGATCGAGAAACAAGAAATCCCAAAATTCTCTCGGGACGAGCTCCGTGCCTCAGGGTCCACCGCTGCTGAACACCAGAAAGTTAAAGATCAAGTCCTAAAGTTCATCCAACCTTGTCACAAATGGTTCCCGAATATAACCAAGATTGAAAAAGTTACAAATCTTGATTTGGAAAAGAAATTTGAAGCTGCGAAATCCAGAGCATTCGGCGACTACATCGACACAAAGTTCCATGGCACGTCGGACACTGCTTTGGGAAATATTATCCGAAAGGGCTTCAAAATGCCAGAGGCCAATCCCCGCCCTCCAAAAAAACCAGGCATGTATGGTCAAGGCATCTACTTTGCTACGGACTCTTCGAAAAGCGCTCGAGAGATTTACACCAAAGGTTCCCAAAAACTTTTGTTGTGTCAAGTTATTCTTGGAAAGTGCATGACTGTCGAGAAAGCGGATAGCAGCTTAAATAGGAAGAAACTTCGCTCTCAAGAATTCGATTCTGTGTATGCCCCACGAGGTACAGAAGTGATCAATGATGAGTTTGTCATCTTTAATCCAGACCAAGCCCTTCCTCAGTACATCATCCATTTCTCTGACAGAAAAACACTGGTACCTCCCTCACCGTCCATACATACAAAAGAGGCTTGTATCGTGAAGAAGATGAAAGCATCGAGATCAGTGAACTTTCAAGATCCATTTGAAATGTACTACAACTATGCGGAATCTCACTTCAGAAGAATGGCAGCTACGAGTTCCCTACGCCGTGAAGCTACTATTTCATCCATTGATATCGTAATCAACAAAGATCTCGAGGACAAGTTTGAAGCGACCAAGAAGTCGTTCAAAAGCCAAGGAATTCCGGACACGGAGATTCTTGCTTATCACGGAACTGACAAGAAGAACATCGATAGTATCCTCCAGAGCAACTTGCAGTTAAGTTACGCGAAAAGACAAGCTTATGGCAAAGGTAACTACTTCTCAGAATTCCCTGCTGTGAGTCTGGGTTATGGCGATGGTGGTCTTCTCTTGTGTCGCATTCTTCCTGGAAAAGAATTCGTCGACTCCACTGACTGTGATATCCCATCAGACTACAATTCCAAGAAAGTTATAAGACAACAGGCTGCCGTGGCTACGCGGCTTGTTAGGAGACGTTATGTTTTGAGACATACAATCTCATCCATCAGTACGGCCAACGCAAGTGGTGATATGATCATTATTGAAAATTCTGATCAGATTTTGCCCTTCTTTGTTATCCATCGTTGAGCTAACATTACACAAACATAATTTTAAGCTTAGTGAAATAACTGGCAATACCAAGGCTGACCATAAATATTCGTTAGACGTTTAGAATTATTTTTCCTATAGTTGAATTTTCATATTAGTTATTCACCTACAACAAAAACCTCGAACGGTTTGCTTACTATGAAAACGATGGCAGACATACATTTCATCTAACTGTTGTTTTCCAAATTGGTTTCTTTTTCTAGGCATGCATGCCAGAAATGCTAACTCTGCCAATTGTTTTCGTAAGGGGTAGTGCTGTAGCTCGTAAATATAATTTTAATAATTACATAGGTAATTTTGGGGACAGATTTACTACAGACGCAGCAAAAAAAAACTGTGAAGATTTTGAAACAAATGATATGTTTTAAACTTGATTTTCAACAAAATCCTTTTTATTGCATTTATTCTCCAAATTAGTATAGGCAATTGTGAAGTCTTTCAGACTTTGTACTAATTACATTTAAACAAATCATACTGAAACATGTTAATTTAAAAGATGTGGCATTTTCGTACGAAGGAAATCACCGATGCACGCATCCAAACAATGCCATTAAAAAAACCCCAAATTATAATTTCATTACGTTTATACTTTTATATATCCGATAATGCGATACCGATTTCTGACAATGATACTGTCTGAAGTTTTTGCTGTATATAGTTTCATAAATTTCAATAGGGACCCACTTAAACGTCAATGAAAGTTAATGCATCTCTATACTGCACCTCACAAGACACTCTCAAGTCCCATACCACCGTCCAGCTTTCTCAAGGCATTTGAAAAAGCATTTGTAATCTGGCTGAAGGCATACGACTCGTAGATACCCCTTGCCGAATTAGCACCCGGCTCGTAAGGGTCTTCAATCTTCATGCGAGGGCGATTATTCGTGACATACCCATCACTTCGGCTGATTGAAACTACTCTGGAGCTCCAGTTAAAACTCGCATAAAAACGGAAGAACCCGACGAATAATTCACCAAGGCTTTGCTTATTAAAGGATTTGAAATGCTTGAGCTCTTCTGGAAGTTCTTTAGTCTTCAGACAATCAATGATAACGGATGGTTGGAGAGTTGCACTGAATAGAGATGGGTAGTCGGTTTGCAACGATGGAACAACTGGTGGACTGCAACCCTTTTGAAGGTAGTTGATATACAAAACCAGCAGAGTGAATCCTGTGGTGAAATGAAAAAAGACTTGTAACAAACAGTTGAATGGACCCTAATAAACTAAATCCTGAACTAGGAAAGTTCGTCGGTTCTAAGGTATACGGCTGGAAAGAGCATCTCAAAATTAGTAAAATGGAAAACTTTTTCGAAAAGTGGTAACGCTTTTTCGAACGTAATACTAATTTATACAAAATTTGCCAACTTCGCACCGCGATATTTTTCACAAATTACAATATTTCGCCACAAAACTTTCCAATTTTACTAATTTTGAGATGCTCTTTCCAACTGTACTCATAAAAATTCAGAGTTTTTAATTTAGTTTAATAGGGGAATGCCAAATGATGCAATGAAATGGTTCATCCACTACATATTTAGAACGAGAACTTCTGTTTTCCCGAAGACGACGAGTAAAGTCGACATTCCGAAGGTCGTAAACTTATATTTTTCAGCTAATTCCAGTAGTTTTACTTAACATAACGTATCGTATCACAAAACTCTTTTCCTGAACAATTGGAGTTTGGTCGTCTGAAGAAAAATAGGGCTGAATCCCCAGACGCAGAAGTGCATGTCTTCAGACAAACTTCAAAATCCCCACGAAATATACATATAAAAAATCTAGACTGATATATGTACCTGAAAGTTTGTGGTCCCTTTGGTTGATGATTCCAGCGTTCTTTGCCCACAGTTTAATCACGAGACCAAGAGGCAGGACTCGTGGGTCGAGGAGTGCATAGCAGCGAAAGAGATACGTGTGGCGAATATTTGGCACACGTTCATTGTTAATATCGGCTTCGAACAAACTCCTCCTGTCTTTAATCTTCAACACTGGAACCTTTGCCCCACGCACAAGCTATAGCGACAGAGAAATTAAGTTGTGAAACTAACAGTTGGGAAAAAACTAAACTCTTAGCATGCATGTATCTGATAACAGTATAGCATTAAATTATGATAGAAAGAGTGCATGGGCATGAAACATCACGTCTCGGCTTTATTTTTAAATTGCACAAAGTTTAAATCAGTCGTGATTCAGTTAGCTTATAAGGCTTGTTTACACTTGTAATTTTTCGGTGAGATTATCTTCTTTTCATTGATGTGAACGAGTGGGTAAGTTCCGGATATTCAAATAGGCGCACTATCTTGCTTATCCAAAATGGCATACACCAAACGTACGAAAAAAAATATCTCTTTAAGATCGTGAAGAACATTATCACAGAAAATTGACAATGATTGTGGGTGTTGTACGCGTGGTCAACATTAAATATGCGAACGAGCCCTTGATTTGGAAATTAGTTAAATGCATGTGAGGAATTTAAAAAACCTACAAAAAATACCTGTCAGTGTTACCGCCCGTCTAGTTGAAACGAGAACTTTCGGAAAATTAAGTAGTCTGACCCTCCCACACGAGGAAGTGACCAGGCTCAGTCAATAACTTGTTCGTAAATAAAAACCCTTTAAAAATTGCAATTTCTTTTATTTTTGGCGAGGTTTTCTTCTTTTGATAAATGTGAAACGAGCGAATAGTTCTGATACGTTAGTGACCAAACCCCTTTTTTTTGGTGTTGACAATCATTCGTCAAGACAACAGGCATTGAAAGGGATATTGAGACTTCTTCTTCCAATAGTCAATACGGTTTTAGAAAGAGTCGTTTTATCTCTCTCTATATATGTATTGCTATATCTCAGAGCTTAAATACACAATTTAGATCATGAAAGTCATACTTGAACAAGAAGTGGAAGCAAAGTCCAATGCATCATGCTGTCTTAAGTCATTTATACGCGACATGCACTTAATATAACAACAAAAATAGCTAAAAATATTACCTGGGTATTATATCTTGACCTTGGTAACAACTTATCAATGTTGTCTAGAGCAGAGCAGCCGAACCGGTCCGCAGAGATAAGCGTTAAATCGCAATCGCTGGTCTTAAATCCAAACATATTTCCTGAGGAGCCCGTAAGGACAAGTTCAGCGTTTGGATACTTCTGACGTGCGATAGATTGTAGTTCATCAACCCAGGCCTTCTTCAATCCATCGTTTTCTTTCTTTTCTTCCTGTATTGCCTCAAACCTTCGCGTTATATCCTCGCTTAGCGAGCGACTTGAACCTGCTTCGAATCTTCTATGCATTTCCCTGTTTTGACTTGTTCGCCAAGGCTACTAATTATATATAGCTACTGGAAAAAGGAAATATGTGTAAACACAGTTGGTGGTCTGAATATAATATGATTTCTGAAAACAAAAGTTAAAATGCTATTGTTATACTTCTGTGGTTGTTCAAAAGCCGGTTAGCTTAATCCTGGGTAAAAGCAAATCTTTACATCAACATTTTTAATCGCTTGTTTACAAAGTTGAATATCTTTTTCCATAAATATTTTGTGGACAGACAAAAGCCATATTTTGTAAAGGTTTTCAAACGAACAGTGGTTCAAATTTAACCAGGTTAGCGCTACCCATGCCCAGCTTTGAACAACTAATTTTTTAATTTTATTAAGTAATATACAATTAGGTCGTAAAGACATCACCAAATAACTTAGGAATATCTAAAATTCAGATTCAAAAGTGTATTTTTATAATTTCTAAATTATGAATGCATGGAAGCTATGTCGAAAACGTGTGTTTCCTATCAAGTACTATTATTTGCAAGGTATACTGTCAATCGCCTGTCAATCAACTGTCAAACGTTAAACCTAAAATTAGCAGTAGTGAATGTACAGTTTGCGGGGGGAAACGTGCGAAGGTTAAAATGTTAACAAACGCGTTTCTAAGATGTCGATGGCTGCCGAGCTGGCAAATGGTAGTACATATATTAAAGTAAACTAGTGTATAAAGTTTATAATGTTTCAGGGATTTACAAAACACTATCTAAATCCATACTATCTTCAATTTTCCTCAAAGCTCTACCAAAAGAATCTTTGATTTGCACGAATTGGCGAAACTCATAAATGCCTCTCGCACAATTTCCACAGCGTTCATAAGGATCTTCAATCTTCATGCGAGGACGATTATTCGAAACATACGCGTTATTTCGGCTGATGGAAACCACTTCGGAGCTCCATTGGAACTTTTCATAAAACCGGAAAAATCCAACAAGTAATTCACCGAGGTTCTGCTTGTTGCTGGATTTAAAATCCCTGAGTTTCTCAGGTAATTCTTTGGTTTTCAGTTTCTCAATGATCTGGGATATTTCTACAATGCCGGCGAAAAGCAATGGATAGTCGGTTTGCAACGATGGAACAACCGGTGGACTGCAACCTTTTTGAAGGTAGTTGATGTACAAAACCAGCAGAGTGAAACCTGTGGTAATGAAGTGAAAAACATTGAAAAGCCTGAATTTTTATATGAACTTCATCTTAGAAGGAGAATGGAAAATGGCGTAAATTTTTCATGTTTCAAATTGCACTGTAAAAAGGTTATTTCAAGGTCGACTTATTTCAAAATAGTTGTTTAAAACGCATTCTTTCTACAATTTTTTACAAGTAAAAACAGCCGAATAAAAGGTTATTTCAACCAATATTTCAGTCGTCGATCCCTCAACATTAAACAAATGAAATTGGTTGAAACCTACATTTGAGCTGTAATCTTCAGATTTATAAAAGCTTGTCGAATTTGTATTTTTTTTTGTCATGAATCATTGAGTTTGTAAATACTATTTCCCGACATAACCATGCATGCAAATATGCAAAAGTGATTTAATACAAACCTTACAGTAATACGTTTTAAATATCAAAATGTAAGTCTAGATATATCTACCTGAAAGTTTGTGGTCCCTTTGGTTGATGATGCCAGCGTTCTTTGCCCACAGTTTAATAACGAGGCCAAGAGGCAGGACTCGTGGGTCGAGAAGAGCATAGCAGCGAAAGAGATACGTGTGGCGAATATTGCGTACGCATTCCGAGTTGATATCAGCTTCGAACGAGTTCCCCTTATCTTTTATCTTCAACACGGGAACCTTTGCTCCACGCACCAACTATAAGGGTAAAAAACAACTGGAGTAACCTGCGACGCCTTTTTGTTATGTGACTGTTTTGCAACGGAAAACTAGATAAATCCACCCTCTATGTAGATTAAGCTAAACCTGTGTCTTGTGTGAAACACAAAATACGACGGAGCGCCTGGAAAGAGCCTACAGGGAGGGGAGGGCAGAGTTAAAGTGTAGCAAACAATCTCAAATTGCTTTGTATTACATGTCCAGTGTTACGTAAATGTTACACAATAACAATTTAATGCACGCCGATGGTATTTTACCTCTGTGGTAAATTTTGACTTTGGGAGCAATTTCTCAATGTTGTCTAGAGCAGAGTAGGCAAATCGTTCTCCAGAAATAAGCGTCAGATCACAATCACTAGTTTTAAAACCAAACATGTTTCCTGAAGAACCTGTTAGGATAAGTTCAGCGTTTGGATACTTCTGACGGGCGATCGACTGTAGTTCATCAATCCAGGCCTTCTTCAATCGATATTTCTCTTCATTTTCCTCCCGTACTCGCTCAAACTTTCGGGTTATCTCGTCGCTCAACGAGCTGTTTGTACCCTTCTCATATTTTCGCTTCATATATTTTTTCTGCCAAACTATTGCTTATTTCTAGGTGCTTTTAAATGGACGCGTAAACACCGTTGGTGGTCTGAATAATGTATTGTTCCTGGAAATGATCACGCTGTTCCACTTCCGACAACTTTTACCCTTTAGATAAAATCATTATGTGATATAGTTTTCCCCCATTCCTTGGGCTCAGACAGGCATTCTCTACAAAAGATCACCATGGCCAAGCCGTTAGGTATCTAATGAAGCTAATAAGATAAATCTGACAACAGAAATTTCTAATACTTACATATATTCAAGTGTGATCTATGCATGGGTGATATCTTGATTTGTGTATATTCACACAGCCCAAGTGTCATTGCCTGAGTAGAAGTTTACCATTCTCTAGGACAGCTAGGTTTTGTTGAATTAATATCGACTGTAAAAAAAACAATCTTAACTAATATTCGAAGCGCAGCTCAAATATCAATGCAAAGAATACCTTGCAGATAATAATGAATATGTGAGCCAGGTTTTGGCGTATATATTATGGCGTAATATCAGAATTATACATACGAAAGTGCCATTTGATACTTCCTGTTTTATTTTTCCAGGAACAACATCCTTCAATTCCAGCTAACTTGTTCGCTCTCATGCATCATTCATCAAACTGGGAAATACCGGTTGCAAAAGAAAGTCATCATTTGGTAAACTTTGCTCGGGATTACCCGAATACTGGCGGTTAATTTCATGATGCAGCAGATGATGATTTAGTTCTATTTTACTGTTCAATCAGTTCACACGCGTGAGATATGTCGGGTAAGAATTTTACAAATTTACACTTATAGTTTTTAATATACGAAAAAACTCGTCAAGATATTATATTTTGGCAGTATGATGCATGAACAAAGTTTAGTAGACATTGTCATTGTGTCCTGTCAAACTGAAAATATCGAGTTTATGAGTAAACCTTCTTCAAAGCGATGCTCAGTTGAAGTTAGGAAGCGATATCGTCCACGTAGATCATACACTTCAACGTGAATTTGCGATGATTCTGTCATATTTAGTTGCAAGATATATGCCGTTTCAAAAATTTACATTTTTGTAACAGCAGGTAGTCATGTTTTCAACCTGTTAATAATAAATATCGCGTGTTAGTTGCAATCAAATTATTTGCTACATAGAGATTTGGTTATATAGATAGTTTTCAAGTAGAGATACAGAGATCGTTTCATTAAACAATATATACGTCGATGGCTGGTCAGAAACTTAAAATATATCGAATGTTAAATCAATAATGATTTTTGGCACTTCACTCGATGCAGGAATATTCTAGAGGTTGAAAGGTCTTAATTTTGAGTGGAATTATACACACTTCAAATTCAAGCCAGGAACAGTTGATGGAAAAATGAGTCAACTATATCGGTCCTTCGGCAGGAATCGAACCAGTGGCAAGAGCATTGCACCGGCATCGCTAAAGCGTAGGTTCGATTCCTGCGGGAAGACTGATAGTTGACTCATTTTTTAATCAACTGTTTCTGGCTTGAATTTGAAGAGTGTATAATTCCACTCGAAATTAAGACCCTTTCAACCTCTAGAATATATCGAAGGTTAGATTATTAGAAATTACAAAGTTCACATGTTCGATAATTTACTTTCATTTTTCATCTCAGACTTTGGTTCCAGAGTTTGATATTTCGTAAGTACTTAGCTAATGACCCTGGGTTTTGTCCCCTTTATTTCAAAGGCATTCCCGAAAAAAGAATGATTTTCGCTGATTAATGATATGAATTACTTTACAATAGCCAGGAAGAAGTCTTCTAACAACTTCGTATCAAATGTGATTTGACAAGGCATCAAAGGCACCTTATGTCGAAACGTCGGACTGAAAGTGTTTTTATCTAGTTTAGGTAGTTGCATGTTATAACGCATTTGATGCTGAATTGTTTCACAATTTAGTCTAATTACATCCATTCTGACCTTTGGTCTTCACAGGTGAGAACAAAGGTCCCACGAAACGACAGAGAAATAAACGAAAGACAGTGAATGTGAACTTACCAAGAGAAAGTGCCCAATGGTACAAGGGAAGAATATGTTCAATAAACAAGAAATCGATATTCATAAAGCCTTTGAACGGCCTACCGGATGGGTACAACAAACAGAAAGATGTATATTTGAATCCTGACAGCATATCAAAGTATGTGCTGCCTTTGAAAGGAGGTGAATCAGTGGAGTTTGTCCTCGGAGACAGAAATAAGGAAAAGCCAATGGCTCGTAAGGTGAAGGTGACACAATATTTGAAACGAACGTTCAACGAATTGAACGACTATTTTAAGGAATATGCTCGATATCTGAAGACAGATGATTCTAAGAAAATTATTTTGGAGACTTTACCCAACACAGCGATGTGGAGTTTTCTTGGGTCACCTGATTTTGAAAACACAACAGGTAAGGGTCTTTTAAAACTTCTCGCCTGTTAGTAGAACTAGAATACTGCCAATCAATAGTTGACGAAACTTTCTAACTCCACTGTCTGTTATTAAATCATTACTTAGCAATTAGTCTGATGCAACCTTTAGGTACCTTCCTCTGTCTAAGACCAAAGAATTTTGCTTGTTAGTGAAAGAGTGGTCAAAATAGTTATTCAAAATCATTCGAAAGCTGAGAGAAACGTTTTTTCTGACACGAGACGTTTATGTTCAAGGCCTAACCTTTTCTATGTTATTATTATTATACTTTTCTACATTACAGAGATACCTTCACGAGTTCCTTATATTAAAGATCTGTTAGATTTTCTTAAGTTAGTTTTGCGTACTGGAAAAGCTTACAAAACACTTGTGGAGGAAATGATCAAGACAGTGACACAAGGAACGTTGTTTAAAGCATCAGAAAACAAGAGTATTCCGTCCATAATCAAGTCTGGGATGTATTCTGCCGTGGAAGACATATTTTACCTAAGAGATGTGAATCTTTGTGTAGTTTCTGTTGAGCTCTTTCGCAGTTTCTGTCAGGAAGTCATTGGTCTGGTGCCGTCAGCTGCACATTGTCTTTTGCCCACAGTGACTGCAATAAGTGAGAAAATATCAAACCCCACCACACAGACGTTTGTATGTGATATTTTAAACCTTGCGTTGTCTGGAGGAAGCACTATGGTTGGTGATGAAGGTATTAAGTTGTTTCAAAAAATAGCCACACAATAAAACAAGTGAATTATAGCAGTAAATTTAACATATTTGTGTATATTTGCATTCATTACTGATAAAAACTTTAACCAATGCTTTAGGAGTCTGGCAAGAACTACCGTTTATTCCAACTGATCATGAGTTAGCTGGCAATCTAGTTGAAGAAGACAAACATCTTTCCCCAGTGAAGAATTCCTACCTCGATCCAGAGTCTTACATGGATACATACTTCAGGCTGCTTCGTGCCGAGACCTTCTCGGCCATACAACATGGAATCAAAGAGCTCAAAGATTGTGAACTGGACGAAAGAGATATGAACGTGTACCATAATATCCATTTAGCTGGTTTTGAGATCCAACATGGCCGTTTCTCTCTCGCTGTTCACTTCACTCCAGCTAGAGATGTCAAGAAATGGGAAGCCTCGCCTCAACTCATGTTTGGAAATTTGGTGTGCATCTCGCTGAACCGAAAGTTTGATGATGTCATATGGGCCGTGGTGTCCAATAGAGACACAGATATCTTGAACAAACACAAGATCATCATGTTAGAATTGATAGACGAAAACACCAAGAAAATGAGTCAGATTATAAGTTCCCTTCAAGCTCATGCAGGTAATTGTCAAGTAAATAATTAGCCAAGTGATTTGAATAAGACAACAAAGACCAATAACTAACATGATCTACTTTTCATCAATAAAAAACTGATTAATATCTTGTGAAATCTATTCTACTTTCATCTATTCGACTTGCATCTCTCTTTACTGATCATAAATACGAATTTAAGTTTCAAAGGCATCATTAATTGTTATTATATACAGGTTCTGGAGTCATGGTCGAATCACCGACCTACTACCACTCCATGAGTCCTATCCTGCGAAGTTTAAAAGACTTCGAGATGGAAAACTTTCCTCTTCAACGAGAAATCATCTACGCCCGTGAGACGCCAGGTTTGCCGGATTATCTGAAGCAGGCTGAAACGGTGAACACAAAAGCGATCTACAAAGCTCATGTAAGAAACGGATTAAGAGAGATTTACGATGATATAACAAAGGGTGAAATGAACTTTCGAAAGTTTATAGAAGTTCTAAATATTGATTCCAGCACTTCGTTGGAAGCAAGTCAATGTTTAGCTTTGAAACAAGCTCTCATGAATAGACTAGCCATCATACAAGGTAAAATATCGCATTCAGTTCTCTTTCTTCATATATGATATTAAAAACGAAATATAGATGGGTTTAGATTCACCTAATATCATATTTTACATTAGGGATTAGTTATCGCTTAACACTCCTGCCACGCATGTCGATTGAATGCGCCTTGTTAGATAAGAAGGGTGGATTTTTTCTGATTGTCAGCCCCAAGACCTGGCTTAGGAGTTGAGTGAGGACTTATCACAGGGTTCTATCTTAGGAACTACGCCGCTGCAACAAGTGATCCCATTAGGACATTAACTTAATCTGTAATTACTACATCTACCTTGTTCTTTATATCTAGGTCCACCTGGTTGTGGTAAAACATACATCGGAGTCAAAATCGTTCAGCTGTTGTTAACTCTTTCGCCGAAGCTTAAAAAACCAATCTTATTGTTGACCTACAAGAACCATGCCTTGGACGAGTTCCTGAAACACATGTTGGATTTCTGTTCGATAAACGATCTGGTGAGGATTGGCAGTAGGTCCAAAGAGCCACAGTTAGAAACGTGTAATCTTCAAGCAATCATGAGGTCACTGTCGAGGAACCAGAGTTACGGCAAAGCAATGTACGCAGAAATCCAAGAGACCAAGGACGAGATTCGTGGGGTGGAAACACGGATCAAGGCGCTGTCTTCTCAAGTTGATTCAAGCAGTCATTTGATGAAGAAAAGTTTGATCGCTGAGCTCAGTGAGGAGCAGTTGCAATCACTCCTCGTTGAGGCTGGATGGAGTAAAAGTGGACGCATGGTGTTCAAGTTGGCTTCTAAAAAGCATGTGGACAGATCTTTGGTTGAAGCATTGCTGGCTCTAATTATACGGAACGTTGGATCATTAAAAGATTTCTTAATCTTATTTCTGAACAAAGCAATGGCAAACGACGATCCAAACACCGCAGAATACACACACTGCTTTAATTTGTTCGATAAGGCGCTGAAAGAATGGCTACCTGACAGACAGGAACCCCAGCGGATGAAAGCATTTCAAGCCGAGTACGTTCATCGGATTCGTACGTCAACAATCGATGAAGAAAGCGAAAATGATGGCGCGAGTACTTCAAAAGAGCAAGCTAATGATGGCGATGATGGCGACGATAGCGGTGATGAAGAACACGTCAAAGAATTGCTCGAAACGAGAATGTTCTCGAACTTTAAACAAGGCGATAAATCAAAAGAACGGATGATTCTCTTCACATCATTCAGGAATAACAACGCTAACAAGAAGAACAGCAAGAAGAACAATAATACCACGAGCACTCCGACCACAAAAGATAGAAAGGATGTGTTGATTGATATTTCTGACTACCCTAACGATATGGAAGTCGGTGCGCAAATTCGTTCCGTTAAGAATCTGTGGAATTTGGATAAGATCGAGAGATTGCAATTTCTTTTTTGCATTCTGAACGAGAGGACGTCCAGCACAGCGGAAGAATTTGACGAGCTCATTGAGAAGCTAGTGCTGCTGAAGAAACGAAAGGAAGAAATGGAAATGAGAAAAAGGTTGAAATGCTGTTGCAGAAAAAGATCATCGGTGTGACCATAACTGGAGCATCAATCAATCATGATCTTCTTCATCACATCGGTCCCAGTGTTGTGATTGTCGAGGAAGCCGCCGAAATCCTGGAACCAAGTCTTCTGGCTGCGCTGACGCCATCTTTAGAGCATCTCATTTTAATTGGCGACCACAAACAACTAAGACCGCAAGTTGACACCTATGATCTGCGCAGAAATTTCCAGTTTGACAAGTCCATGATGGAGAGATTGATCGACGCGAAGTTCCCATACAAAACTCTAACCAAACAAAATCGAATGCGTCCTGAATTTTCTGCCCTTCTTAAAGACATCTACCCAAGATTAAAAGACAACCTGTCACTCGTTTTGAAAAACGAGCCTTTGAAATGTATCGCAAAGTCAATGTTCTTCTGGTCTCACCAGGATCCAGAAAAGAAAGATCGCACCTTCACAAATGCCAAGGAAGCAGAACGCATCGTAGCTTTGGTTTTGTATCTTCTGTGGAGCGGCTGTCGTCCCTCCGAAATCACTGTCCTGGCAGCTTATCTCGGACAAACTAAACTTCTCAGAAACCTGATGAAAAAAGCTAAAGCGAAACGCCCTACACTGTTCCAAGAAATTCAGGAAAGTGGTGAAGAGAAAGAAGGATTCATTCAAGTTCAAACCATCGACATGTTCCAGGGTGATGAAAATGAATATGTCCTCGTCTCGCTTGTGCGCTCGAACGACAGAAACAACATTGGATTTTTGAAGGAATTGAATCGGCGATGTGTTGCGCAGTCCAGAGCAAAGTGCGGTATGTATTTCGTTGGAAATATGAATCTACTTATGAACGCAAAGCTATCGTGTTGGGGTACCATGATCAATGGAATGAACCAGCAGGAATGTACTGGAACTACCTTGCCTCTACAGTGCTCTAAACATGCCACATCAAGATGTGATGTGCTGGATGCAGACCAGGCGGAAAGGGTCATCGATAACCCAAAACTCTTGTGTCGGGAAAAGTGTGATGATCTATACCCCTGTCATATTCACAGATGCAAAAGACCATGTCTACCACGACATAACCACGGAAAGTGCGTAGAAATTGTGCTTGATATATTCCCAAAATGCCGCCATCTTGTTAGACGTAAATGCCAAGATGATATTTCCGAATTGCTTTGCAAGAAAGAAGTGGGAACTATCCTGGAGAATTGTGGTCACGAAGTGATGAAGGAATGCCACCAGAGAAACTCTGACATTCTTTGTGATGAGCTGGTTACTGCTATATTTCCTAAATGTGGCCATGAAACAGAAAAGAAATGCTACGTGAACATCGAAGAGATGTCCTGCGAACGTCCGTGCGAGGAATATAACTCATGTGGTATACATCGATGCGTCGACGAGTGTGGCAAACCGCACAGCCATGACAGTTGCCCAAAGATGATCGATTTTAGATTTCCGGGCTGCAACCACCCTTCGCCCACAAAGAAGAAGTGTTCAAAACCAATTGTTGGGCAGTGCAACACAACAGTTCACACAACTGGGTTATGTGGACATCCATTAAAGAAGCTGTGCTATCAGCAAGAATACCCACCATGTACCCATCAGTGCGAGATGAAGAATTCGTGTGGCATACATCGATGTGATAACAAGTGTGGGAAGATTCATGACCACGACAAGTGTCAGAAGTTGATCGACTACAAATTCCCAGGCTGCGATCATCCTTCACCAAAGAAGAAAAGGTGTTCCGAACCGATCTCCTGGAATTGCACGTCTTTGGTGTACTTTAACGGATCTTGTGGGCATCTTCTCCAAAAACAATGTTATCAAAAAAACGCGGACGTAAAATGTACGATTCCCTGTGGAAAAACAAGGAAATGTGGCCATCCTTGCACAAATGTATGCAGAGACGACTGTGAAAAAGGTGATTGCAAACATTGTCTTGATTTGTATACAGAAAAAATGAAGAAATTCCATGAAGATGCCAAGAAAAGAGTAAAAGATCTCGAAGATAAGATCAAGAAGAATCCCTCAACGATATTTTCAATCGATGAGATTTCCTCCACTGGTCCCGACTCGGCAGAATATCAGAAAGTTAACGACAAGGTTGTGAAATTTGTACAGCCAATGCACAACTGGTTTCCTAAAGTCACCAAGATCGAGAAAGTTACCAATTATGAGCTGGAAAAAAAATTCGAAATAGCCAAGTCTAAAGCGTTTGGTGATCATATCGACGAAAATTTCCATGGTACTGATGATAATGGCGTAAGGGGTATAACGAAAGATGGATTCAGAATGCCAGATCCTAATCCACCAACCAACAAACGCGGTATGTATGGTCAAGGAATATACTTTGCGACGGACTCTTCTAAAAGCGCTCAAAAGATTTACACCAAAGGTTCTCAGAAACTTCTTCTTTGTCAAGTGATACTTGGGAAATCTAAGGAAGTTCATCAGGCTGACTATACGTTGAACAAGCAGAGATTAAGATCGGAAAGATGCGATTCTGTGTATGCCCCGCGAGGATCAGCTGTGAAAAACGACGAGTTTGTCATCTTTGATCCAGACCAAGCCCTACCTCAGTACATTATCCATTTCTCCACGACGGGTAAGTCAGTACCACCGTCACCAACACCGCTGACCACTCAACCATTTCTCAGGAAGAAAATGCAGCCATCAAGGGCTGTGAATTTCACGGATCCGTTTCAAATCTATTACAACATCGCCGAGTCCCACTTCAGAAGAATGGCTGCAATGGCGAACCTCCAATCAACGATATCCTCCATCGATATCGTCATCAACAAAGATCTTGAAAGGAAATTCGAAGCTAAAAAAAGCACATTCAAACTGATGGGCATTCCCGATGACGAAATTCTTGCTTACCATGGAACTGATAAAGCTAACATAGATAGCATTCTGAAAACCAACCTGCAATTGAGCTTTGCTCGGAGACAAGCCCATGGCAGAGGAAACTATTTCTCAGAATTTCCCAATGTCAGTCTAGGTTATGGCGATGGCCTGATACTGTGTCGTGTTCTACCCGGTAAAGAATTTGTGGATTCTGGAAGATGCAATATCCCTCCCGGCTACAATTCCAAGAAAGTAATGCCAACAAACCAGCCCGGAGCCCCCCCTGCTAACGCAAGCGGAGCGATGATTATTATTGAATGTTCCGACCAGATTTTGCCTTTCTTTGTTATCCATCGTTGAAATTCCAGCACAATTGCGCTAGGAATCACTAAATCTTAGATGAACAAAAATAACCGAACTGATTCCTCTAAATATGGCTAGTTTATCAAGTATTTGTCTATAATTACATATTATATCAATATCAGATGATGATATATTCAGCGTTCTCACTTCTAAGGAAATTTCCTTAGAAAAGTTTGACTCTATATCGAGGAGAGGGAGGAATATTTAATATATTCTTTTCATAAGCTCTTTGTCTCAACTTATTCAAAGCATCCTTTCCCACAGTAAAAAGTATGCATATCTAAATCGTGAGAACACAGGATATATTAATATAATTCATTAATGTTAAATATATTACTCAAGGGCCAGTTATCCGAAAAGCGTTTAGCCTAAGATAAGCCAACGGTGGATAAGGCTTACATCTTGTGAATGACTGAAACTAAATCTTATTAGATATGTACTTCCATTGAAAATTAAACATTATATCGAAATATTTCACAACAAGCTTTGAACTCCTTCTATAGAATGAATGAATATAAAGTATGAACCCGATAATGTCATGTCAAGAATTGTATTTACAAAAGTAAAAAAACATGTTGATTAAGGGCTGTCTCAGTGTGGTTGAAATTGCAAAAAAATACCGATTGATGCTTAGTGCAGCTGATGCCTTATCTGTATTTTCATTCCAACGCACAAGACGTGCTTTTAGAGGGAGAAGTAAACCCCATAAATTTAGAGCATATAGCAAAGTAATCATCAGTATTTAAAACCTTGCAGAAAAACAACAACAAACAAAAATAGCTTATCACAGACTCGATCACGCAGACAAACACAGACATGAGTAATTTTAGTTTTACCCTAACGCGTGCCACATGCAGTTAACTCAAATAATTAGGTCAATAGCTCGCGCAGCGGTAGGTGTGTTGTTTTTGAACTAGGCTTAGAAATCAGTAAAGGCACTGTTGAAGCTTTCATACAATATTCTGTTTCACATAACAGCAGAAGACAGAACGGGTAAACAGCAGAATAAGGCAGAAAAGTACAAAAAAGGATCTAGTAAGCCCATCAATAGGTACTCAAATTAGCTACGATTTAACATATATTGCTTTTTATACACCACACACGTGCAAAACATGCGCCATTCATGTCATCATAACCCTCGAAATTTTCCCAATAGGCCTGTTGAAACTTCGTTTAAAAAAATGGAATCATGTGTAACACTAGTGGCATGTTGTGCTGTTGGTTCGTCTGGTGTTTTGCACAGAAACATGAAGGGTTTCTAGCACGTGCCGATCTTAAAATGTACAGTAAACAACGACGATATAAAAATAGCTTATCAGATTGTGTGGTGTGGTGTGGTTACATTCAGCAATTACCTGCGAATTGCTGCCTTGTTTGTAATCAACAACAGATGCGTGCGGTTATTATTGTGTTACCAAGCAACAAAGGTGACGATTCTCTGAGTTTGTACACACGTGTGGGCCTGTGGGGGTGGTTTGAACCTTGCGTTTTGGAGAACAGCACAGCATGCATACGAGAACAGCGGAGCGTTCAAAACAATGAAATGCGATATTCATGTTTTTCTTCTGCTCGAGAGTCTTCTGGTGAAATGTAATCAGGGGGATTTAATCTGACCTCATAAAACCATAGAGTGTAATCGGGATTTAAACTGAATATATCTTCGTTGTAAGGACATTATTTTGCGCGTTTGTTATGTACGTGTATCCTTTAATACCCAAACCTTGGATTTCAAATTTTGTGGAAATTAGCATCCTCCTTGCACTAGCTAACTCATAAATCTTTCATGCGATATCATACTGAAATTTATCACACCACATTACCCCGATAATACGAAGGACTGAACTCTTAACTGAAAACAGATGGTTTGACTGTCTGGAGTGTCAAATATGGAAGACGACAAGCTCCACTAATGATTGTTTTCCAAACAAAATTCTCCAAAGATAAAAATGCAAAAGCTACAAATAACGCTATGTTTAATCGTAGCTACTCTCACAAATCGCTTGCTACCTGCAAATTTTCAAGCTAAACATTACCTTGACTACTTTATAGCGCAGATTTTCTCATAAACGAACCCGTTGAGGAGTGCACGATTAGATTAAAAAAGTTTAAAAAACAACAAACAACCATTAAAAAACAGCTTATCACTAGCGGTGTCCCAGACAATAGAAATTATCCGTTAACATAGCTATAATATATCTGCATGCAGATATTCAGACTAGTTGTTAATTAGCGCTTGATTAGATTTTAATCCATCTATATTTTTATTATAATCCTTCATGCAAACTCAAGTTGACAGGGCAAAACAAAATAGAATCAAAGTTCATCGTTGTAGTTTACTTTAAGCTATTAAAGGTTCACTCGAAGTTTGTCAAAAACTTTATAACAATATATACGTAATTAACACGAGTACCACAACTTTATCAACATACATATTCTATACCAGAATTTAAAGTGATAGTGGTAGTTTAGCCAGTGTGGTTCTTTAGCAAAATTAAACTAGTTGAATCAATTGTGGTATAACAACTGCCTAAATAGACAAAACACTTCTCGACGTTTCGACCTGAGGGCCTTCGTCAGGAGAGTTAGTAACACTTCTCGACGTTTCGACCTAAGGGCTTTCGTCAGGAGAGTTAGTATGACTTACTAACTCTCCTGACGAAGGCCCTCAGGTCGAAACGTCGAGAAGTGTTTTGTCTATTTAGGCAGTTGTTATACCACATTTGATGCTAAGTTGTTTGAAGACGCTGCCATGCTGCTCCTTGGTTATATTGGAACCTATCTAGTTGAATCAATGTTTTGTTTTAATAAAACTTTGCACAAATACGTGGATAAACACACGTAGTGTTTATCGATATAACTCATATATCAAGATATTCCAATCCACAGTTATACTAGCGAAGGAAATCATCACCAGTATCAGAGCGAAAACAAAAGGCTAATTTCTGCCCACGTCGTGAAATGTTTAATCGCTATTAAGCGGAACACATTCAAAAATAGATACATCGAGAATAAACATGTCAATAGATAAAGCGGTGAACAGAATTCAAACTATATCAATGTTTTGTCTCTTCTCTGCATGACTTTCACCGATTTGCAGACACTCTGACGAGCGTCTCAACGAAAATAGAACCCAGGCCTGTAAAATACTGTGACGTCAGCGCACAGCAGGCACTCGTGGGCATTGTTAACATAAGGACACCTACAGTTCTGTGGACAGTAAGGTTAAATTATGTTTTAGATCTTAGCATTGATAAGAATCACGACGGCATGGTTTATATGCGCATGCATGCGTGCGTAGTGTCTTCGAACTATGCAAGTAGATCACGTTCAAATGACAAGGTTGGATATAAAGATAGGGGGAATGACTTGCTAATAATGATTCATCAGATGTTTAATGATAGTTAACACGTCAGTCGCAACATGTGGAGCCATAAGGAATTCTTTAAGGTTTTTAAGCACTCATTTATAATCGATGTTTGTCGTTTGGGCATTTAGACTAAGTTTTTTTGGCAAGTTATAGCTACTTTATTCGGATTTTCTTTTGCAGTAATACTGGATCAAGGTTTAGAACTGATAAAGTTAGTTTAGTTTAGGTTTCCTCCTGTAGTAACACTGGATCGATAAGAGATGATCCTTACTGGACCTCTAGGAAGAACAGTTTAGAACTGATAGAGCTATCCAGTATAAATAAAGCTTGTTTAATTTAGGTTTTCTCCTGTAGTAACACTGGATCAATAAGAGATGATCCTTACTGGACCTCTAGGAAGAACAGTTTAGAACTGATAGAGCTATCCAGTATAAACAAAGTTAGTTTAGTTCAGGTTTCCTCCTGCAATAACACTGGATGAATAAGAGATGATCCTTACTGGACCTCTAGGAAGAACAGTTTAGAACTGATAGAGCTACCCAGTATAAACAAAGTTAGTTTAGTTTAGGTTTCCTCCTGCAGTAACACTGGATCAATAAGAGATGATCCTTACTGGACCTCTAGGAAGAACAGTTTAGAACTGATAGAACTATCCAGTATAAATAAAGTTAGTTTAGTTTCGATTTCCTCCTGTGGTGGAACTCGATTGATCTAGATAATGTTACTGGACCTTCATTCATAATAAGAAGTTCCGAAAGTCATTTAAGATAAAGAGAAATTGTACTATATATATACGTTGACCGTTACGAACACAAAAAACACCAGGGGCTAACATGAAGGAGATAAGCCATGGTTAAATTTAGTAGCAAGATGCAAATCATCTGTAACTAATTGCCATGCACATGGCACAATGAAAGACCTAAAAATAAAACTGTGAAAGAAATAATTAATTCTTTTATGGCCGGAAAGGTCATTAAAACCTAACAATGTCAGCAAAAAATATACTCCGTTCAAGAGATTTGTTTACGACTGTTCGAGTGAACTTTATATGGAATGATCAATATTTGCGTTTGAAGTTGATTTCAAAATAGAGTGGAAAATTTATACGTTTCAAATCTATAAAACATATACTCTCTTTATCAGAGACTTGTTTACGATTGTTCGAGGAATTTTATATAGAATTCAATGATTATTGCTTGTGTCTGAAGTTGATTAAAATAAAGTGGAAAATTTATACGTTTCAAACCGTATGGCATAATCATTACTTTTGTTGTATAGTTGTGTCCGGAATTGACTTGAAATATTCTGCAGTTGTTCTACATCATAACAATTACATTCACACATCTTGTTTATTCCAAATTTTCTTTTTGTTTTATTTTAAGCTTGTCAGCTGATCGATCGTGTTTTTTTACAAATGTCACAATGTCAATGAGTTCCGTACAACATGAGATCATCGCCAAAAGGATTGCCAACATTATTTATTTATATATATTTACACTGACATCGTGAGAGCCGACCTTCACTTAAAACAGAAAAGAGTATTGAATTGAAATAAAAGATTTTTTTACATTCAGCGTTTTATTGAGTTCTAAATATTCTATGTGATCTTGGCTAGTAAAGGTCAATTCTATATTTATATATACATGCAAGAACAATGATAGGTCTATTAAAGACGTGTAGCTATATAATTATACCCCCTTTATCCTTCCTCATGTGAAAGTCGAACGTTTTAAAATGAGGGAACCTTTTATATATAACAAAATACCAAGAATAGCCCAAGGAACATTTTGAACAACATCTCTAAAGTTCTTTGGTGTAAAATTCGTTTAGGAATGGACAAATTACAAAGTGTCTGAGGTTCTAAACTTCCTTGTTTTGAGAGAGTGCTACTTACAAAGAAATATGTCGCTTGCGTCATGCACTACAAATATTTTATGCATTTTGAACAAAAATGGAAGTTAATAACGCGAAGAATTAGAGGAGAATTATTTTTAGTAATTCAGACGTT